ACACAAGACCAGACACAAGACCATGAACAAGACCATGCACAAGACCAGACACAAGACCACACACAAGACCATGCACAAGACCACGCACAAGACCATGCACAAGACCACGCATAAGACCAGACACAAGACCAGACACAAGCAACAGGGTGAACAATGACAAAGGAATTCTTTTGTTGCAGTTCATTTGAATAGCTTGTGACTTGAATTCAGACTGGTGGTCTTGTGAAGGTCTTAAGTGGTCTCGACTACAACACTGATGGATAGGGTAGAGAGCCAATGTCTACATCAACCCTTACCCTCCCAAAACTACCAACCAAATCTGATTAATATTTTGATGGGTTTGGGACTACACAGACCTGGCACTTTACACTCAGCTGGATTCTCATTTTGTTTACATGTGGAGTTACCGTGTGACACTATATGGACAACTGAGTACGCTCCTTGTAAAATTCCAAGCATCCAGGATGCTATGGACTTTCAGAATCCATGACTCAATTCCAAACGATGATTCCACGATTTGTCACATTCAAAATACTTGGTTTATTCATTTCCTACCTTCCAAGTTGGCTGCAGAAGGTCTTGACCGTGGCCATTTCAGATGGGTCGTCTATGTTGACGGGCATCCCGACGTGGAAGTTACCATCCCCGACGTGGCCAACAATAGCACCTTCATGTATAAAAGAAGTGATACAAATGAACGTTTTTTTAGCTGCAAAGCATGTATGAGTTTTCATGGTGACTAGTTGAAGAAGAGAACACAAAGATAAACTGGAAGAGAGCAAACAGACCATGCTCAGATGACACACAACAAGTGACATGTAAAATAGGCAACCCAACAGATGAAGAATACGGTGAAGAAAAAAAATGTAAACCAACTTACCATAAAGACCGCAATTTCTTAGATCTTCTTGCGTCTGTACAATGATTTGTGGCAGCTTTGAGATTGGTACACAGACATCCGTGCTCAAAGCCTGTGATTGAAAACAAATGTATATTAATAAACAGTTTGTATGGAAATCTGCAAGTTAGAAATAACTAACAAGTTTAATCTGTTCTGAAAAGTGTTTTGTGTTGACAGCTCACTGTAATTATGGGTTCTGTTGTCATGAAAAATTCCTCCTATTATCTGTTTGAAAAGAATAAAGCTATATTTCTTGAATTCAAGAAATATTCTTGAATTTATGCAAAACTCTGACACAAATATTCCAGCTGCGATTCATTAAGATGTCTATAAAACAATGCTCAAGTTAAACACAGGTTGAGCTCAGCCGACGCTGCTTTCATGGATGTAAATTTGTGAAAAATATTATTGTTTCTGGTCTCATTCAATTGCCTAAACAAATCCTGAATCAATCCCTTTGCATGACCCAACTAAATTGTGAATAAATCCCAATATCACCCATGGGCTCAGGAATTCAGCAACACCATAAAATGGACATTTCACTTACTGGTGAAATGGAAGCTTTGGTTATGCATCATGTGACGGCTGCACAATGATGTTTGGAACAATGACCGGAAATTTCTTCACGCGATATACCCCTATTCGTCCATATACCCACCTTGCATCCTGGTCGTGTGGCGATGCATGCGTACAGACAATCGTGTCGTGCCTTCCACAACTTGCTTCTGTCTTCTGGTCTCTCAGCCCACTGGAAGTCCGACCCATTGTTCCCTCTCACTATTTCCTCTTCAAATCAAGTGGGAAAGGAAAAGTATGACTTTTCTAACAACGATGAGAATTCTGATTCCATCAAATCAAATTTTTCTCACATGTGACATCTGCCAAACATAGAGTAAATGAAATTCAACCAAATGGGGTGTTGCAAAAGACAGGAAGCACATTTAACGGTAAACAATTCAAATTCAATCCCTTTGTATCTAATTCGTTGTGGTAACTTCGGCATGTGAATACAGTGTACAGTCCTTGATTGCAATCTAATTCACAGAAGGATGAAAGAAATGTTTAGAATGATCAAATGAGAGAACCTCAAGAGAGAACCTCAAATTCTTTAACAAAAGCCTTCGAAAATCTTGACACGTCAAATGTTACAGACTTGCAGTGAAAGCCTCGATCTGCATTGCAATCCAGGGGGATTTGATCATTTGAACCCAGCACATGGTGGGTGGAGGCATTTGAAATCCCTCACCGACATATTGAACCTGTGACTTGACGCTTTCTTCCGAGCCGTGAAACTCCAGGAATAAAGTTGGCGCTACTTTCTGGTCCAGGTGGCTGTACTTGTTACAAGCATCCATCATCGCTTCATCAAGGAATTCTGACAAGGATTGAACAAATTGCCACTCAAGAATGTTAAACATGAAAAAAAACCTGACCGGCTGAAAGTTACCTACTGTTGACATGTATCAAGGGTGTCAGGAACAGTTTTGCACAGAATGAACAGGCTTTACCCAAAATGCTGAGAGGATCTATTACTTTGAAATGGTTCTTTAAATTCCACTGAGTGGATTGACACTGACCAGAAAGCCAAGGATTCTGTTTTGGTAAATATGTCACTAAACTGTCAAAGTAATTCAAGCTGGGAAATATTTGATTTTCATCAGTCCAACGTGCCTGAGTTCTTTTGACCATGAGGAAAAGCAATGTAGCCTGCATACCAATGCGGGCGATTGGAACACCACACTGCATGACCTGCGTGACAGAGTCTACGGCCTCTTGAACAGTGTCAAATGAGCAGACAGCAGCCAGAATCTGTTGACAAAGAACAGGTGAGGAGGCACTTCAGGGACTTTCCGTAGCATGGCTTTTTACTCATCCAGGGCTTAATCTTGAACTCGTAATCAATGGAACAGGAACTAAAAGATATCAATGCAGGAACTAAAAAATATCAATGCAGGAACTAACAAAAAATCATTCCAGGAACTAAAAGAAATCAATGCAGGAACTAAAAGAAATCAATACAGGCTCTAAAAGAAATCAATGCAAGAACTAAAAGAAATATTCATCCACGTCTGGATCCATTACTGATGGTTATGCAACGGTACAAGGTGCTGCGGTGAACTGAAGAATCTCAGCTCAGAGGAATTAAATCATAAAAACTGGAGCCCAAGAGAGAGATTAAACCGAAATTGGAAAACCTTTAGGATAAACTTCAGATTAAAAGAGCATCTGAACCCTCTGAAGTTGTTGCATGAAAGTGATGACCCACCAACACTACTTATATGGAGGACTTAACATCCAAATCTGTGCACAAGCACAACCTCAATGTTGAACAAGTAACAACTTTGGGCAGACACCTCAACACCACTGCCACTCAAACTGTTGAGTTTGCACATGTTCAAAAGAAAGTTGTCAATACATATAACATACTCCGTTCTTCAAGTGAGTGAACCATGGAGTGGCATGTTGCACACTCTCGAAACTCTCCAGAAAGATCTCAAACACCATCTACCATCCTCGTGTGTTGCATTGGAATCATGCTCTACTTCAATGTATGAAGGTCCGCTCACTCATCAGTTCCCTTTTTTTTGAGTCTTAAACTCGAGTGGAAAATCTTCATTTCCACATAAGAGCAAATGCAGCCAAACACCATTAGAAGTCACTGGGACTTTTACAAATTCCCTTTTGATAGGGACCTTGTATCATCAGTATTGGAAAACAAAGAATATACTTGGAAACTCAATTTTTATTTTGTTATAAGCAGGATGTCTGATCATACAGTCAACTCTCATTATTTGGCGTATTGCTGGGACATGCCAATTTAACTCGTAAAACCAGAATCTTGTTGGAAAAGAACTGGAAAAAAAACAGAAAACAGTTCGGATTGGTACTTCAGAATTTGCTGTTTAAAACCCAAAGAGTGTTCTTTGTACTGAGTGAATTCTACAGACAAACCTTACATGACACGTGTGCCAAGAGATTTTTAAAAAAAAAGAAAGTTTAATATAGATTGAAGCACAGCATAAATGCACATCTGAAGTTGATACCCTCACTCACCGCCTCTGGTATCCCATGAAGCCTCAGCGTTGCCTTGGTGATGATGCCTAGTGTGCCCTCTGACCCAACAAACAGATTAGTCAGGTTGTAGCCAGCAGCGGTTTTTCTGAAACGCAGTCGGTCGGAGTGAAATTGGTAATAATCAAAATGCAGGATAACTTTGCTTAAGTAGGTATATGAAGATAGCAGGCCCGAAGATGACAGATTATTGGACAGCTTTGTACAAATCTATCGATGGTATAATGGAAAGTCATGGAGAAATGGAGAATGAGAGCTTACAGAAGCTCTCCAATTATACACCATGTTTCATTGGACATTCTCAGAGGCCCTCTTTAATGGTGGAACACAGTGTTGTGTCTCCTACATGTACGTAGAATAGTTACCACGATGTTACCAGCCATTGGTGGGGGCCACTGCGAATGACTACTGATTACTTTGGTCACCAGATTTGTGTACTTCATGAAATATCACAACATGGAATGGTTTCTTGTACTTGGCCCTTTTGTCTTTGCCAGCAGTGTGGATCACAGTCCCGTCAGCCAACACCACCTCCAGATTCAAGACGTTTTCTCTCATTGTGCCGTAGCGCACAGCATTGGTACCCGATGCACTGGTAGCCGCCATACCACACAGAGAGGCATTGGCACCAGGATCTACAATGAGAAATGTCAGGATGAGTTATTAATGCAGTACAGTGTATCTGTCAATATAGCTATTGAAGGCAAACGTTAAATGAAGGCATTGCTTAATTAAATATGTCCACCCAACAACAATTGGAGCAAGTGGATCTGCTGACCAGCCATCTGACAGGCCAACCAAAATGTACACCATTTGGATCAGCCTTTTATTATTAAGCTAACCAGACAATTATTTGTAAGGCCATCAACAGTCTCTCATGAGTTATTAGACCTATGAACTAGTCCCAACTAACCGATCAGCCAACCAACCCAACTCAGCAGTAATCAAGCTTCTCTCAGAAATTGGTCAAGGAGCCAATCAATCAACCAACTAACCTGAAGCAACCTGACCACTGCCAGCTAGAACACAAAAGAGCCAATCAACCATCTAGCAAGCCAGTCAACTAACTATACGACCACCAACTTGGAATCAGTCAGTCAGCCAACCAACTAGTCAACAAAATAAACTGTCAGCCAGTATACGAGCAACCAGTTAACTGGCCAATCAATTATTCATCTGGCCATCTGAGAAGGTTGGAGAACCTTACCCATCAATAAGCCAACCAAGAGCCAGCCACTCAGGTAATCAACAAGCCACCCAACTAACCACACAGTCTGCAAGCTGAATGATTAACACTCAACCAGTCAGCCAATCAATTAGTCCCTTTCCAATCAACCACCTGGTCAGTAGCTCAACGTTACCTATTGGAAACCAGAGACCAGCATCCCTCAGGTAAGTATTCAGCTCCTGCCTTGCAACACCTGGCTCAACGGTCACATCGAAGTCTTCAGAGTGTAAGGACAAGATCCGATCAATGTGGCTCAGGTCAATGCAGACTGACCCCTGCACGTCAAGAGAATCAAAAGTGGGGAATTATTCTTGTTTTGTTGAAATTTCATGGTTGATACATCACCCTAACTAAGAAGTCACCAATTGTGGCCCCAGCTGCAATACAAGACGAGACCTGGCCAGCCCTGATAAGCACAGCATCCCGTAGTACAAATGTATTAAAGTCAGCTGCAAAAATAAGTCAGTGACTGTGGGTTCAAGTCCCACATAAGTATGCTATGCACTTACATTCCTAAAAGCATTAATTAAACTGTGTCTTTCAATTACACTAATGAAAGAGTACAGACTCAATTTTACATCAAAATATTTGTAAATCAAAGCAATCAAATCCAACCCCAATTTGAGCAGGGAAACAAAGAAAAGTTCATTGTTACTACCGATATATTTGACGGTTTATACCACAACCAATGGCCCATCTGTGCTTACCTTTGCACCTGTAACACCCCCTTCAAGCCCAGTACCAGTACCAAAGGGTACCATGGGTAATTTATGCTGGCTACAGATCTTGGCAATCTCCGAAACCTCTTGGGTGTCCTTTGGGAAAACAACGACGTCTGGAAGGAATGTCCTGCAAAAAAATTTAAAAACGAACAGCACACAAAATGACTTGTCTCTATGATTGTTTTTCATTTATGCACGCACAAACAAAATCTAAAAAAGGCTTTTTAGCAATAACTGATGATTTACAAAGAAAAGAAAGTCATTATGGTTACAAATTATTTTTTTTAAGTTTTGAAGGCTATGATGCACAAAGGCATCACTTTTCTATGAAGCCAAAACACCTCTGTCTTGTCTATTTTGAGCTTGACTGGTGGGTTAAACGCCTTCAAACATGACCCCTTTGCTCGACATTTTTAAGCCATCAGTAAAGTTATCACTAAATAATTGCATCTCATTTGATAAATCAAATGTATTGAGCCCGTTCATATATTAAAACCCCTTTACGCGAGAGGGCATAATCAGCTTCAATACTGCTTTTTTTTTCTCACCGGTGGTAAGACTCATCATGCCCATGCTGCTCACAGACTGCCTCAGCTGATGAAACGTTTTTATCCCCAAGAGTCGACTGCAAGGCCTTGAGAGCCAACGCAGGCACGGACTGCAGACCGAATGACAGAACAGACAGACGACGGGTGAGATGAGCTTATTAGCCTCACACTCCTAGCTCAGGTAGAGCTCACATTTTGCCATTCGTTGTGTACTTGTAGGTCTATGAGTACTTGTGGATACGCATGTAGGCTTACCACTTTTTTGAGGGTAAGCACTTTTCAATGAAGCTGTGGCATTAGGCCTACACCTAGCCTTACTAAATGGTCATAGAGGTCTGCTGGTTCCTACACAACTTTAAAACTACAGTACAGTTTCCCCATTTTTAAAATGGAAATTTTTTTCACATGGAAGTGTCTTCTTGGCAAAACTGGGGGAAGACACTGAGTGCCTTATCCCCCACCCCCCCCACACACACAAAGCTGCCTCCCCACTGGCTCAGTTTACAAACCTGGTGAGAGACCAATGAAGTGGTTAAGAATCGTTGACATCTTGGCACTGATGTAGGCCTAGGTGCACATGCTTGCCTGCTACACTCTTTCAGAACTTCAGGAGTAACAGCACACACACCCTTGAGAACTCTGGATAAAGCCATCATTGCTCATAAGCTCACCTGGCTTAAGATGGCAAAGATGAAAATTATCTCTTAATACATATACATATATGTGAGGATGACAGATCTACTGTTAATATTTTAAGTAAAGACCACATTCATTAAACATTTTAACATGCATGATCACATACCAATCCCCAAGTTCAAGTTGAAATGGTTAACCAGCCCCTTAAATAAGTACAAAATTCGACATTAAGCCATAATGAAAGCTGTTATACCAATGGTTGATGTTGATACAACAAAAACAAAGCTATAAACATGGTGAGCACTGAACCTAGCTTGTAAGTTGTCCACCAAGTTTAACAGGGCTGATTTAAAGTTTATTCTTAGGTTTAGGCCTTAGGCCTAAGTGTAAACTGATAAAAGTTGACAACCGTACACAATTAATGAAAACTTTGTGGTACGACCACAAGTTGTATTTATTGTACCGGCCCTACGGAGGCATAAGAGCATTTGAAATCAAAAACAAACTCGGTTGTTTTAAAATTGCAAAATCTACAAAACCATAACCCATTCCAACCCGTTCTAGTCGTCTTGACTCGCAATAGTCGTACTCCCGGTTTTTGGACGTGATTTAGTACTAGTAGTAGTAGTACGACTACAACTCGACTATGTGCGAGCCCTACTATACTTTGGCCAGTTTTTTTTACCGAGCTACGAAAGCTCCCTCTGTCTGTGGAGCGCCCTCTGTGAACAACAAATTTTCAAAACTATTACGTCACACCAAGCGGACAAGGAAGTGAACAAGTTCGGACGGAATTGCATCTGCGTGGCGTGACGGGATTTGTGTTCAGCGTCCATTTTTTCAGGAGAGAAAAATTGTTTTGACATCAAAATGGCAGATATGAGGAGTGAATGGGCCATGTGGGCTAACGAGCATGGTTTCGTGAGCGGAATTGGTAAGGAAAAATTAAATAATCTACGGCAGTTTACTGCATGACATGTTGGGCCTAGTTGTAAGGGGACCAGACCTGTACTAGTTAATCGTTGATTATTTTTTTAATTAATTTCCTGACTTACCGTAAGCATTGGTTCACCAGTATGATAATCTACATTAATGTTTTGCTGTGTGCTTTAATTTGTAGCAACAGCACACAGAGCTCATGTCAGTTGATTTCATTTTATTTAGGTTTTATCGGCAGCTTGTGCTTGCAGAATCTAGTTTTTGTTTGTCACAGAAGAAGTGCCACATTGACATATTTTTGAATTCGCCAGGCATGCGAGGTTCGAGCCACAAATAGCAATACATTTAAATTGAGCCTTATGATTGTAGAAAATTTCGAATCTTTATGTTATCCATTGAGTGAGTGAGACTGTCCCTGTGGTTTTTCTGCCTAGTAATGCTGATGGGAGGAATTACTGGCGTCTTTGGATTTGATGGCTTTGAATTTGCAGCCTACACCATGTATCCTTTGTGATTTCATTTGATGCTGATGTGAAGAACTGTATTGTCCTTTTTTTTTAAGAGGATACACTTGAAAGGAAGAAATCTCTCTTCAGGGTTTTTATTTTGTTGTTTTGTTATTTATTTTTTGGCTTGTGTATTGTGTTGTTGTTGCCAGGGCAACCCGTTCTTTTCTATTGCTCACTTCTTTGTGCTGCAGATATTTCATACAGAAATCCATGCTATTTTGTATTGGGTAAGTTTGTATTCTTATTTTGTATTCTAATGTTTCCCCTTTCGTCTTTGGTTGCCCAGAGGTCACATTTATGCTTACTTTCTACATTGTGCCTACTTTTTTTTATTTTTCATTTAGTTTATTTGGGGGGGAGGGTGTGCTTATATTTACTTTCCATCTGTAGCCGAGCAGCTCACATTTCTTCCTTGAGAAAACTGCCTCTTCCATGTTGTCTTCATTTTAACCCACAGAAAAAATCATGTCACCCTGTAGGAAGGCGAAGCACTTAAAACTCGATTGAAACCAAGCCAATCAATTTTTAACTTTCACAAATTTTGTGAGGTTTTGAAACTGTGTCCACCTTAACCGAACTTGGTCAGTGCTGCCGGTGCCTTTGTCACCTTGCTGGAGTACCCTCGCAGCCAACGAAGGAAGGGATCGCTGGTACCTAGAAGGTAGGCACTCAATGAAATGTGCGTCTGTGAAAGCAACTTGAACTTGAAGATTACAGTGGCTGCCAATCTGGTTGAAATCTCAGGGCAGCAAATCGTGATTTTTTACCTCGGTAAATCGAATCAATCGGTTCCACCTGTGTTTCACATGGGTTAGGCTTTTTAACTTCTGTTGTATTTTGATTTAGTGAGATGCACTGATAACTTAAGTGGTGTGACACTCTGTGATCCAGGTAGACAAGACACTGCAGAGAAACATTGTTTTTAGAGGGGGTCTGTGGAAGACAAATGGCACAGGGTGTCTTAATCAAATTTAACTTCATCAAAATTGGTTTAAAATAGAAAAAAACAATTGAACTTTGCTGAAATGTTTTGTGACCTGGTCTCAATTATGCTGTGGGCAGGACCAGGAGAAGTGGAAAATCTTGCTGATTACTTTTCATTTCTTGGACAGGTTTCAGCACATCCTTCATCCTATCATGAACTGTGGAGGACCACTCACCAAAAACTACTATGTGCGTTTTGTCTTGTATTTGCTGTAAGTTGCCTTCTCTGTCTTTGGTCAGTTGTGGTATTTTAGGTTTTAGTTTTCGTCGAGTCTATTCGCTACATTTCACAGTGTAGAAACAGAGTACTTATCTTACATTTGAGTCTACAGAAATGGCATACATTTTCGTTTCTGTAATTTATGGAAGGACTTAGATGAAGCTGCCCATGTTTATATCTTAAGAAATGCAAGACTGGAACCAGTTGTTCTCTCATTTAAATTTGCCAGGATGTCGGTACCTAGCACTTTCACCCTGCCAACCATCCTGGGCGGGGCGTCCCTCTTCGTTGGCGGCCTAATCTACTTCCGAGCTGCCCTTGGTGGCGAGGATTGGCATGTGGACAGTGCCGAATTGGCCCGTCAGAAGACACTGACTAACCGCCCCCCTGCTAACCCGCCACCCCGCCCCCCACCTCAGGGAGCTGCCAAGCCTGATGACAAGTTTACTGAGATTCCCCTGGGAAATATCAACGGTCAGTAAAAAAAACATTTTTACTTCAGATGGTAAATGAAAAACAGTGATTTGGAAACTAAACTTAAAAACCACTTTAATTAGATGATTTTTAAACATTCCACATTTTTAATCAAATATTTTAGAATTATACACAGCATTAACAATGTAAACACTGGAGGTTACTGTTTTGATATACAGTGAATTGCACATGTACATGAAATGCAATCACCTGCCATTAGTACGTGTACTGAACTTGTACAGTAGTGATGTTTTTAAAAACATGTCTATTTTTTTACACTACTTATTTTTTATGCTTTTTATAATGTTGATGTGAATATTGAGATCAGGAAGTTTAAATTATCCAGGTAAAATGCAATAATAATTCAACTTCAGTTGTGTATGCTTCTTTCATTTTGTTTGTTTGCTGGTCATAATATAGAAAGTACTGTTGAAAACTAACTTAAAGGGCATAAAAAAGTCACACAAGTTGTTTTGTGAAGGTACCTCATGTACGTGTTACTGTACTTGTGCAGTGTGATGGTATTACTTCCTGTCTGCAGTGAATCAATGATGATGCACTTTTTCTAGTTTCTACTAGGCATTATGTCTTTGGTTGTGTAGTGTTTCAAGGAAGCTGGTTTTCCTGGAGAGATTTTTATTAGAGTTCTGTATCTGTGTTGTGTGGTTCTGCAAACTCATCTCCTGTATTTATTTTGCCTGTTTTGTCCAACTTCTAAATGTGACATATTTGTATTTGTTGCATCGGAGGTAATACCAAACGGGCGTGACTAAACTGTAGTTGGAGGGTAGTTGTAGGGTTAGAATGCAGCTTGTGCCCTTAATGTAAAGTTAATTTGTGCTATTAAAGGTGAAGCATCATTCCCGAGGTCTGCCCATTTGGGTATCATTGAAGAAGTGAGTCCTTTAAAAGCACTTTAAACCTTTAGAGTTTGTCACCGTGTTACCCTTCTACCAACAGAACCCTTAAGATTTTCTCCGAGTTGTAATAAATTAATGCAATCTGCCCTCCATCGCTCTGTGTATATTTCATATTCAATTGCTGGAGTGTTGGCATGGTGTCCTTTGTTGTTTTCAGAGAATAGACAGGGACTTCACCAGTCTTCTGTCTTCACTGACTGAACGACTGTAATAATATGCAGCGCGGACAGGACTTGTGTGCTAATTGTAATGTGATATGTGAAAACCGTCCACATTATGAAATTTGTCACAAATATTTCAAGAATGGCAATACGCGTAAAAAACGGTATTGAGATATTGATGAAAAAATGGCAGTAACACGTCAAATAATACAAATATCTCGGACTAATTTTCCCATTATTTTTTAATTTGGTGAGGCGATGTGTGAAGGGTTTTCGCAAATCACATCACAATTACACTCTCAGTTTTGGTTTTAGGTGTCTAAACTTGTGTTCGCGACCGTATGCGACTGTAACGTGTGCATTTCATGGTCGTTTGTGATCCAGTTCACAACCAAAGGCGTCTCCTTTCTAAAGAAAATTGCGCCCTCTCTTGGTCCATCTCGAGGCCCGTTGTCAAATATTTACCTTCAATAGTCAAACATACTCCAGCCCCGACTCCCCACAGCCTACAAAACTCCTACCCCACGCCCACGACTTCTGCCTTGGGAACGAACGGTGTAAGACAATTCACACGGTTCATACGACGTCATTTGTCTAAGAGTTTATTAAATAGTCCACTCCAATGGTCTATTACAAAATATTAAATCATGTTAAGAAAATTTCACAAAAAGATGTTTGGTAAAAATTATTTGGTCGAACACGCCAGGTTTCAAACGTATCAGTTCCCTGGTTAAAAGGAGTCATTGCAAAGTTTGGTTTTCTAAAGCTATGGTTATGAAAAGAAGCTATGTAGGCACTGAATAATCCTAACAAAAGTTGTAGTTTCGTTTGTTTAGGAAAACATTCATTCCATGAATCAATCGTGATATAAATACAAAAGATGGCTATTTACAATAAAATTAACACTTCTTTAGTTTCAAAATGTCACACTAATAAAATAATGACACAAAGTGCTGATCGTAAATTGCAAAAGTTTGGTATGAGACTTGAGTGTCCCAACGATTTTAATGCTGCTGTAGCCAGCCCGGCTGTACCACCAGATAGTTGAAATAAACCTGCGACCATTTCAAGCGTCAACAGTCACAATTTATGTACCGGCCAGTTGGGTTTCTAACTCGCGGCATCGTTTGAAGTTGTAAATTGCATCTGACCGATACGGAATTATCTGCACATAAACAGCGCGAGTACAGGGGCAGTGAAGCTTACAGAAGCAGTTGTCAAAAACAGACGCCGTTTTGTGGGGTGTGTTTATTGTTTTAACGCAAGGTTCTGGCCTTTCAGTGACATTGCGGAGTTATTTGGCACAGCACTCCCATCCCACAACCTGCTTACGAGGCCAGATATTTTCGATGCTTTACTGTAGATTAGTTTGTTATCGCCGTTGTACTTGTGTTGTGGATGAGATTGTGCTCTTACACTGCTGACAGAATTCCTGAATAAGTTAACTTCGACTAGCGGCCATTTTGCTTGGAAGTGTTCGTCCGTCAAATCTGTGCGTTAACGTAGCACTTAAAATTTTGTTTTTGACAGCTTCTGGTCAAAGAATATACATGTGTTCAGCAGTTCGTGACAAAAATTACATTTGCATTTTCAGCGTGGATTTGATAGAAATTCCATATTGTTATCAAGGCAGTGACTCATTTTAATGAATTATTTTTAAAAGGCACTTCCATGTCAACACGATATGAATACAAATTTTTGTCAGCGACGTGGGACTTCATTTCATTTTGAAGTTGCTCTCTTAGTTAATTGCGGAGAAGTTTGAAAGAAGTGAATACAAGGTTCCGTAAAAGTAACTGGACACCAATTAAATTCAAATTGACATGTCCACCTGTTTATCAATAATTTATAATCAATTAGAGTTAGAGAGTAGTTTTAAGGAGACAACTGCAACTTCAAAACATCTTAAGTCCTAGAATCCCTGATGCAAGCTGCCTCCACGTGTTTGTAAAGGTAGCTCTTCAGAGCGAATGCTTTGTTGCACTTCTTGCAGATGTAGGGCTTGACGTTGGAGTGCGTCTGGATGTGAGCCCGGAGGTTGGACTTGTCCGCGAATGCCTTGCCGCACTGCGGACAGGCGAAGGGCTTCTCGCCCGTGTGGGTCCGGATGTGCCCCTGTAGCAACCACGGTCGGCTGAAGCACTTGCCGCAAAGGTTGCACTTGCAGCCCAGCTTGTGGGTTCTGTTGCAGAGAGGAAAGAAAAGGAGACCAAACTGGTGATAATTGGAAAATTGTGTCACTTTTTAAGGTCAGGCGTTGCATGTTGCTGCCCCATCTTGTACTGGTAATCTTTAAAGTGCGGGAAGAACGTATTCATTGGGAATTTTAGAAAATTGAAACTCATACTTAAGATTAGCCTAGAGCAATAGTCCATGGATGATTTTAAAAGCTCAGGGGTTTTTTTTTACTGTCAGTATTAAAGGTAGAGCTTTGAGATAGTCTCCTCTTTAGCTGTATGAGGCGGCAAGAGGAACTCACGAGAAGCAAAACTTGGGATCGGAAAACAGGCCGCAGCTTCTCCCTGCGGCAAAATGGAAGATATTTTCGGGCATGATTTCTTTTTATCCACGAGAGGGTATTGCTGTAAAGGCCTCTTAGCCCTAGAACTCAGTGATTTCTCTCTTTCCGAGAGCAAGGGTTGGGATAATTCCTTTCACAAAAGACGTACAAGGCACTGTGGGTACATTGCTTTGGGTTGCTTTATGGATTGCACAGTCAGCGCAAGCAGAAGTGTTGACCTCTATGAACAAATACATTTTCACACGGGCTGGAGGAAATTACGTCATGAACCCGGAAGAAATCAACTTATCCCAGTTTTCTTTGAGGGTGGTGGTGCAAGTAGGGCAGCGTGTTTGTTCGTTTTCAATTACACCGTGTTTATGCACTTTCCTATGACAAAATGGTTTTATTGCCAGTCTTGAGAGGAGACTAGTCTTCACGCCGAATCCCCTGTGCAAAATGTCGGAATTTCCTTGGAAAAAATCCTCTAGCCTTTATTCAAGTCGAATTTGTTGAAAAAAAGAAGCCGCTGTGAAGCAAACTCTATTGATGAGCACGACGCCCTCTCGTGGTTTGTAAATTTCACAAGGGACACGCGCATTCTTTCTATTGGGGAAAATGAATTTACCTGATGTGCATGCTGAGGGCTGGCATTGACACGTAGACCTTGTCACAATGAGGACATTTCCTTGCCTTCTGGTCATTAACACTGCGATGCGTCTGCCGATGCCTGGCTAAGTTACTGGAGGTACTGTACCCCTTTCCACACTCAGGACACACGTGGCTGCTGGCAGTCAAAACCGTTAGTTCGCGAGGCGAGTCAGGCTGGAGATTGAGTACATCAGACAGGTCTGTCTTTGCGTCCGAAGGAGTGGACACGAAGACATTCCGGAGTACCGTCATCTGAGGTTGATTGTCAGGGGACTGTCTGCCGATGTCGGGCTGAGTAGCTTCATCGGCCGCAGTGGGTGAGGTCTGTCCGGGTGGAACACAGGACGCAGTGGCCGTGGCAGCCACTAAACCGCCGTAGTTTGACTGCTGAGACAGCGGGCCATTCATGGACAGATTTAGAACCGACGTGTCGATGTAAAGCTGGGAGTTGTCGGTGTAGTTTGTCGGTGCTGTCGACGTTGGGTACTTGGCCCTGTCGTCACGCACAATGATGTCATTGCGTTTGATGACGAATTGCTTGTAGGCGTCGTTCTTGTCGCTAGACTGCCGGCGTCCGACAGGTCGCCCAGACCGGCTGATGTACTGCTTGCCCGTCGGTGTCGAAGCGAAGTTTTCCCCGACTGATATCTCCTCCGGCGGGTTGTTCTTCCCAGCAGCACGGTTAGCTTTCCTTCCTGCCCTGGTCTTCAGTTTCTTGTGTGTAGGCTTCTTGATGGTCTCAAACGGGTTGGTAGTGGTATGAAAGTGAAGTGGTTTGATGACATGGTACGTAGTCGGCAAAGCGGCGCTCAGCGTCTGCCCCTTCGTGGGTGTGGTTGGGATGCGTAAACAACTCAGACTTGCTAGTGGATAATCTGAAACAGTCATACAAAAAAGACATACATTTTAAAATTTAAATTCATGGTTTGTTTTCTCCCCAAAATTTGTATGAAAGGATCACCAATTTTCGGTTCCATAGACCAATCCCCTATCGCTCGATTTCGTCCCAAGAAATCCAAGAAATCTCTAGGGTTTCCTTTGTTCAGATTTACTTCGTTTCCTATTTGTAGAAAGAGAGAGAGAAATTCCTAATTCCCAATAGGGTTGCCGAGTTTGCTCGTTTATTCATTAACTTTTAGTATGTTTTTCGACTATCTGGAACAATACTTATTTGTCTAAGTGTTTGATTTGGCGCCGTTTCTCGCGATATCGTCTCGACACATGCAGGTTATTCCATATTAGGATATGCTCGCGTGTCAGAAATTGTACAGCCCACCACGAGCCACGTGCTTGCTCCCCAGATCGCGATGGATCTGCCATTAGTCCCGCTGGTACCAGGCTATAGAGCGGTGAGTGTGTCACCTGTTCTGTCGTGTCACAGCAACGTTGTTGTTCCAAGCTCACCACAGGTGTTCGGCAACCAGTTGCCAGTTCCCAACTGTCTCCGAAAGCCTGCTTATAACTAAGTGAGAATTTTAATACGGCAACATGAGAACAAAATATCCGTAAGTAGACGACTTTCAGGAAACAGTTTTACATGCAAGATTCAGTTTTCTTCCACAAAAAGCTTTTCAAGTCAATAAATTAGTTTTTCTGTGCAATTGGTTTTGTCACAGAACCCTTGGGACTAATTCCGGAAATTATCCGCATCAATCATTCCATACAGCCTACAGCATGGTACAAAGTCCCTGCCCCCACTATCCTGTATTCCCATGTTTTTAAAGGACAAACTTGACTCGACTGTGTAATCCATCGGCACTTTAGCATTCCCCTAACCCTTCAATCTCAGTTAAGCGAAACCAGCAGTAGACAACTGCTCGTGTATAGTGGATTGCCACTCAAGGAAGTGCCGGAAGTTATTTATGAATGGCAGAATCTGTTCTTTTAGTTGGAAGGATAAGTGAAAGTCCATGCGTGACCGCGGTGTCTAGAATCGGAAGTCTTGGTTTTCCATTCAATATATGGAGGGCTGTGGTGAAGTAATGCCGACCTGTACCTTTATGCCGGTCACTTTTCAACCCGGTATTAAAAAGGTTGAAACATCTCATTTTATCATTTGGAAAACGAAGGTCTTGTGAGTTGTCAGATTTGTTTCTAATAAAATTTCAGATTTTTTCCCCGAATACATCGTCAGAAATCATTATTGAAATGATGTCAAAGAATTATGTTAATGGATGATAGCTGCACTACATAAGACGTAAATAATTAAGCATTTCTCAGATATCAAAGATCAACTTCAATCCTCAATTCTTCAAAGATAAAAACTTGTTTCCCGGAGTCCAAAAACCTCAACAGGATGTCCTAAAACAACAAAAGTATATGAAAAAATGAACAAAGACAGTGAAATGATGGAAAATATTGAAGTAATAGTTCCTCTCTGGGTTTTTAATTTTCAGTGTCGAATTCCAACCTTGTAATTGTAATGTAAAACAGACCCGGCAAAGTACAGCCTACCCTCCGAGGACAAGGATTTGTGGTGATTACTGCAATTAGACATTGAGGATGGGATAACGAAGCCTTTGGTACCAGGATGAAGAGTATGACAAACACATCATAAGAGATCCGGTCATTACTTTTAATGACAATTCCAACCCGATGCTTCGTTATATGTCTTTCACACGTCTACTGCAAGCCACCGTAGTCTTCCTAAAGTCCGGGCTTTTGTTTTTGCTTTGTTTGGCTTTTTCGGCCGTTGCCGAAACTCAGTTCATGAGAACACAGTCATTGTCAGAAAGTCAAGATGCGTATCAAGAATTCACAGTTCCATGAAGTTTTTGATCAAAGATGCTGAACCTTTTCTTTTTCCTTTTTTCTTCTAAATTTGTAGGCAGTTCAAAGTGGTTTAAGGGTATCTGGTATTTACGCCTTCAACAACTGTAACAATGGCAGGAGAAAGAAGATCCAAACATGGAACCATGATGAAATAACTTACTTCGCGATGTTTCGACGAATCAAAAACAGAGAGGAACTAAAAGTTAGCCACTGTCTTTCCTTCCATGTCTTAAGATTAAGCAGAATCTGACAGGCTCTGAATGGCCTTGCCGCACATCTTTCACACAGCCTGACATACGACAAGACTTAAAAGTGAAAGTGCACTGAAAACCATACACGATGTCCCAAGCGGGGCATGGCTAGTGAGTCGGCCAATTATGCCGTCTTGTAGTTTCCAAGGACGACGGAAGACAGGCGCGGTCGACAATGGGATGGTTTACGTCAGGTGTCACACCGCAGTTTCCACACAAGATAATAATTGGTTTACAATCTTGAGAAAATAAATTGTTCCACTTCAAAATATGTTCTACAGCCGAAGGACCCGGAGAGGCAAGCAGAGTGAAACCACTCAAGTTCACTCATTACACATTTTAAAAGATGAATGTTTTTTTACATAATAATCTCTCTGACTGTGGCTTTGTGTTGATTTCCAATCGTTCGTGACTCGAAGTCGGATGTTACAATTTTCTTTGATTCTGCTGTCAATTTCGAATCTCGTTCTATCCCTCCATATGTGCTTCTCGGCGTGTTTATTTCGGCATATCTCTCATGCATTGCACGGCTCCAAATCTGCAATCTTATCTCCAGAAAAGGTTACTTTGCTAACACCGTTTAAAGAAGCCTTTTCTCAAAAGAAAAATTAAGGCACAGCTCCGAGATTGACGGGACATAGGCCTAGTTTATAAGCAATAACAAAGATTTAACAAACTACAACAGAAAGCCGCAATGATTGATTGTCATTTGCAGCAGCTGCGGTAATACGGGACTTTTTTGGTGGTATACACCCAGCCAAAGGCACTGAAAAGTTAGGGTGGCCATTAATCAGGCACGCGTGCGGCGTGTCAGTCCCACGAACCTCGTAAATTAAGGGCACGGGCGTGGAACACGTCCCGACGGCGAACAACGGCTGGACCGCACGAGGCACCCAACCGCTAAACACCCCTAAGACTATTTCCCCATATCTTGTTAATATTGCGAAAAAACGGTAGAAATTGAGAGTGCAAAATGCTGAGGCGGCGAAATGTTCTGCATTCCGATAGTATCGCCGTGAAGCGGCAGATGTTGACTGGTTCGTGGGTTGTGCACGGCCCATGGGCCCATTACTTGCCGGAAGCAAATTTGGTTGGGCCTAGGCCTATCCCTAAATTGAATGGCCAAGCTGTCTGAATCGATCACAAAGTTAATTTCTGAAGTTACTAGTTTCACGTGATTTTGTTATAGGGAAGGATACGGAGAAATTTCAAGGAGCAGGGTTATATCTGCAGTGCTGCAGTGGGAATTTATTTATTTATTTTATCAGATTATTATTGCAAAATCTCTTCATATGTCCTCTTTAAAACAAAATGTTCAAACTTAATTTCAGAACGATAAAAATTTAATGTGACCATTCAACACCAACAGTATTGATATTGAAGGTACGGTTAACCTATGATAAAACTGTGTAAGGCACTGGGAATTACAATGTGCTAATAAAGATGCAAATTGACAGTGAGTGGAACTTAAGCATAAACAATTCGCTACGGGTAGATAAATCGTGGTTCTGATGATACACGTCTACGCCTTTCCATGGAGATCATAGTCATAAAAAATACTGCCAAACGATCATGTCTGACGAAAACCATATTTTGATAAGAACAACACTCATCCCCTTCTTCCTACAAACCAAACAAACAAAGGCAGCCGCGTCTGAAGGGGCTTGGAAGCCAGGGAAAGGACAAGGAGATAAAGAACACTTGTTTCTTTTTCACCGTTGATTGATAATGCAGCGGGAGTGCCAGTCGGCAGCAGCCTAGCTCGCACCGGCGCGGCCTGCTCCCCACGCGCGCTCCAGCTCTGTGCGTCCTCCTCAAACGAGCTCCACACAACTGCATGGCCAAATATGGTCTACTCGGTTTACTTCATTGGCCTCGCTGGTGCCAGTAGTCAGTGCACGGGGTCCCTGGGCCTGTATTGGCAACCCACTAAAGCAAGGAATGTCGACTCATGACTCCCATAGTTTCCCCCCACCTGCCAGCGAAGATTTGTGTCCTCAACCTGGTAAACACGCATAATTCTGTGAGATAAGATCGATCAAGGCTTTATCAAGATCATGGCGCACCGGTAGCTGCAACTGCATGCGTACAAACTACGCCAAGGAATATGATATGCCATGCACGAGGTGGCCAAAACGATACCTTGAACATGAGTTCATTTAGGCCTATGGGACTGTACTGAAACTTCTTGGCGGCGTCTCTCTGTCTCTCTTCATGCTAAAACTCTCCTCACTGACTTATCCATCTTTTCAATTAACTTAGAATATCTAATGTTGCCAAGGTTTGCTTTAATCCCACTTAAAACCCATTTTTTGATATCTGAATATTGTGGACAAAACCACCACTTTGCCAGGCGCCAGAGAGACGAACTTTAACATTGAACCAAATTGGCGTGTGCCTCCCCTGTTTCACACTTGCAGTTTCCGGGACAGAGAGAAGGAACCTGAAAATGAAAGAGCTGAAATCATGAAAGAATTCCTGCCAAATAAAAGCACTTGTGCCATTTTGACAAGCCGAGTAATTTGTTAAGTGGTAAGTGTCAGGCAGTAACAAACCATGCTTATACGGCAATGAAACGTCGGCTGCAGTAGAAGATGGTGGTATCACGCTTCCTCGAGGTTTCAATCTGTTCTCCCTGTGTTCAGGTTAAAAGTATGCTACGGTATTTCAACTGATCTACGATTTCCTCATAGCTCTGTGTTACGTTTCCAAAGGGCCCACAACCCCAAGCAATAAATACTCAATACTGACAAGTCTTGATGTTCGTGATTTTGGAGGCCGTTCAAGATGTCTTGCAATGTAGGCCTACTTTCATTTCGGGTCCCATGAATCATCAAATCGATTCCTTTCTA